TTAATATATCCTTCATACTATGGTGGAGGTTATAAAAATAGAAGTGCGGCCCGGCTGAACAATCTGCCTTTTTACTTGTTAGCTCTACATTCATAATAAAATTCAAAATTAAAGACAGACGAGAAAATAATATATTCTATTTTCACAGAATGACGGTTTTAGCCACACCAATAGTTAACAACGACAGTATTTTTTTTAAATGTTACTCATTTTGAAATTTGATTTAATTAATTCTTGAAAAAATTTTTTTTTATTCGTATGAATTAAGCCAAAAAATTTTTTGTGTTTTCGAATAAGGAAATGCTTTGAAAGCATTTATAAATGTAAGCAATGGAAATGACAATTTCAATCCAAAACCAGTGGGTTAACCCCTTTATATGTAAGCGTACTGCATGCAAAGGCTATAGTCGGGCGAGGCCGACCATTTGATAACTTAAAACTTTACAATTTGCAGTGAAGTTTTTGCAGCCTTTGACTCGAATGAAGATACCCCTAAGAAACGTATTTACATCGATTACTGATTGAAAGGAAATTTTGAATTTAATTTCGTCTACTGGGTCCATCAATAATATCCACTATTGGTGTTATTTAAGTGTACATACTGATATTGTTTGGATATGTGCCATGCATACTAACAACTGGTATCAATATCACACACCCTTCATAAATGATACGATGCCCATCAACGCATATACTATGCACGAGTTTATCATTTAATGCACATTCTGAAATTATTTGTTTTAAAAATAACAGATAAAATATATGTTCGCCTTTAGATTTTCCAAAATCTGATTTTAACATAGAGATGGAGCTGGATCTTCATAGAACCACTTTCTGAGTCGATTTATGTATCTCAGTCCGCCTGTCCGTCCGTACGTCTGTCCATGTATTCAGTCTAGAAGCAAGTACATCAAATTTGGTGAAAATCGGTTCAGATATAGCTTTAGCTCCCATATTTATGTTTCATCCCATTTGTTGTGTAAGTCCCTCACATTCGTAATATGCATTCGACAACAATGATATTTGGTACCACATATCAGATACAGCCCAGAAATACTTCGCGCAAATTTTATCAAAATGTTTGGATATAGCTCCCATATATATCTTTAACCCATTTCGGGTTAATTGTGTACCAAATGACCAATATCAGTCCAAAAGTCCCGAATTTTGTTACATCCGATCGAAAGAGCATCTAACTCGGAGAAAATCGGTTCAGATATAGATATAGTTTCTATATATATGTTTTATCCGGTACCAGCGGATAGCATATATAGCTCGAAAAGAAAAAAATCTTCAAAAGAATCTGGCCCACACTCTCAGAGAAGAGAACAAGGTCGCTGATGTCATTGTCAAAACCTGATTTAAAACTTGTGGGGGTATCATCACAGGTCATTGTAAGGTGAGGGCTATGACCTCGAAATGGGACAGCGACGACATTGACTACTGTAGGGTCTGTCAAGATGAAGAAGAAATCGAGACAGTCGAACACTTGCTCTGCCACTGCCCAGCACTCATTAATGTGAGACACAGACTAGTCGGAGAACTAGTGTCACATGATCTGTCTTCTTTTTCTAACACTGACCCTATAGTAATCCTTCAATTAGCCAGAAGATTCAAGTGGCTAAAAACGACACGGCAAACTCCTCAGCCGTAGATCACACTCAACAACTCTATCTCTTATCTTCATCTCTTCTACCAACCACTTTTTTCCTCTTTTCTTAACATTCTTCTGGGATGAACACAATGGACCTATAGGTCTCCGAGTGGAGCGGTTGCCATATGGTAACCGCGCGTCCTTTAACCTAACCTAACCTAGCTCGAAAATACCTCTGCCAAATTTTATCAAGATCTGCTCGGATTTGGATATATATCTTTAATCCGATTTCAGGTTTATTGTGCAAATAATGGCTAATATCAAAGACATAGAAGTATAAAGATGAGGCAAGACAGAGTCAAGATAATGCAACCCTGTGAAGATACCTCTGTTGTTATGATATCGTAACAACATAGTTAGCAATGTTAAGCGATTTAAACCGCTTAGGCAATATGCAATTAACTGGGAAAGTCTAGGGAGTAGAATTTTGAAACTCAATTTTTGGATTTTTCAAACTTTTGTTTGTCTTTTTTTCTATAAATGGGTTTTTTTATATTAACATGGTCCTGTCATGAGCTGTTATCTAGATAGTATAGACACAAACCAAAATGCATTGTGTCTAGTCTTTACCATTTTAGGTCTTTGCTAATTCAGCCCAAATGGAGTGAATTTCGGGACGTTCGTTACCATTTTGTGGAACTCGGCTCCGATATATATATTTTTTTTAAAATAATCCTTTTCGAAGTGATATCATGTACTCTATTCTATGTAATTTGGTATAAAAGATCAAAATGTCTTCGTCAAATTTAGTGAAAATCGATTCTGAATTGGATATACCTCCCATATATTAGCTATCTCTGAAATGAAACCATAACTGCTCTAAAGCCAAATGTTGATTGGTGATATGATCTACTTTAAATAAATTCTTAAATTACGGGAACTCTATTAAATATGCATAGTGGTTAAGGGTATCGAATAGTCGTCCCCGCCCCACTTTTGCCTTTTCCTTACTGGTTTTAGTACATATTTTTTATAACAGAAAACAATTATGAACGAAATATTCTTGAATTGATTACATGTTCGGTGTTGCAGCCTTTCAAGTAGCTAAGCGCGACATGTGAGGTTCACCTGTCCAGCGTTATGAAAACATTTTTCAACGACCTATACTATTGTTGCAATCTCTGAGAGCATTTGAATCTTCTGATAAGGCTTGATAAGAACAGAGACACCATTTCGACAACAACATTGTGCTGTGACTTTGATGTGAAATGCACGCTCACCACCGCTGAGAGAGCACGAAATGGGCATTGTAGAAACAAATTATCTGCAAACGTACTCAAAGCGTGAGTGTCAAACCAAACACTTCGATTAAAACAAACCTCAAAAACAGGGTTGCCAAACATATTTTATAAATTTCACATAATAATAATAATAACAATAATTTGCAAAAACAACAACAATAATTGCAAAACAAAAAATTCAAAAAAAAAAAAAAAAAAAAAGGTATAAAAGTTTTAGCGGTTTTGCCGACAATTATTCAAATTGTTGACTCTCTACCGAATAGGTACCGAGGAAATGGGCCAATATTGTGTATTTCGTATATGACCTAAATAAATATGATATATTGGTTTGACTACATCAACTACTTCCTTCACTTTATGTAAGATATATGATAATTTTTTTTTCAAAATCTTGCACCCTATGGTGCGGAGGTACCAGGAAAAATGTTTCGATCCATACCATCTTTATAAAAGATCTTTTGTTGATGGAAATATTGAGATTTACCAAGTCTGAATGGAATTGGATGTTAATTTCGCGTTTTATTAGCCTTATGAGGGAGGTTCCATATGGAGTGGGCCGATATATCCTATCTTCACAGCAGATCTTCTGTTTACTATGAGGAAATAGTGGGATGTGTCAAATATAAAGAGAGCCGGATGCTTATTTCGGATTTTATAATCGTTTTGGTTATTCAAAACGTTGACCCTTTGTGGGGGAGGTATCACAAGGAATGCTCCGATCTCTACTCTTTACAAGAGATCCTGTGTTGAATATTCATAATTTTAACTCTTTCTGGAGAAGGTACTACAAGGAGTGGGCTCACCTTCACAGCAGACCTTGTGTTAGTAGAAATAGTGGGATGTGTCAAACATGAAGAGACCCGGATGCTTACTTCGAATTTTATAATAGTTTTGGTTATTCGAAACTTTGACCATTTTTGGGGCAGGTACCAGAGGGTAAGGTCAGATCTCTACCATCTTTGTAACATCTTTGGAAATATTGAGATTTACAAAGTCTGAATGGAATTGGGCGTTTATTTCGCGTTTTGAGAGCTTCTTGAATATTCAAAATTTTGACCCTTTGAGTGGATCGATATACTACATCTTCACAACCGACCTTGGGTTAATAAAAATGTAGTGATCTGTGTCATTTGAAGACAATCGGACTCTTTCATCACATTTTTATGAGTATAATTTTGACCATTTGTGGGGGATATACTTGATGGAGTGAACCGATATTGTCCATTTTCGTACCTGACCTACCACCATTGCAAATATTAGAATTTGCAAAGTTGGAGCAAAATCGGATTATCCTTTCGCTTTTTGTGCAGTAAATGTTTTTCTTTGAAAATATTGTCATTTTGTGTCGGAGGTACCAGAAGGAGTGGTCCGATATTGCCTATCTCCGAACTCGATTTAAGTTTGACAATAATATTGCGATGTACTAAGTTTGGATCAAATCGGATACTCCTTTCGAGAGTTAACGTAAGAACCAGTCAGACGGACGGACATCGCTAGATCGACTCCAAATGTTCTGAAGCGGATTTGGTACAAAGAGACCTAGGAGACCGTTATTTTGGCCGTATCAAATGATATGTACCCTCTGTAGACTGAGGGTATAATGAACAGAACAGAATCTCCAACCCTTTTATGGTGTCCATAACAAAACGAGAACCTATGTTTTTAATTTTTCTCCAATTAGCAATAATTCAAAATGGCACATGTATGGAAAATCTGTTTGATTAGGCGCACGGATATTGCCCATCATCGAATTTGACCAGACCGCAGAAAAAAATTAGCTTTTAATGCCTATCCAAGTCAGATTTTTAAATTGGGTCTAAAAAGATTATTTCCTTTGGGTTTGAAAATAGCATACCTCAAATATTTAATATCATCAAATCACATACAATATATTCCATATAACCATAAAACAATCCTCTGATCCAAATATTAATGACCAAATAACTGAAAGTAAAAAGAAGAGAATTACAAAGATTACATCATTATTTCCAACGACATTGGCAACCCTTAAAAATCACAATCAAGTATTGTGCTATTTAACAAGTGCCCGGAATAATAACAACAATAATCTTTCTATATCAATAGCAAAAAACGCCAAGAGAATTATTATCAAAACTCGAGAACAACAAATAAATTTTAATAATAAGTAAATAGTACTCGAATTCTAAACTTGGGAAGCTATAAAAATAACATTTCACATCAAGTAATGCCCGGTGTTCTAAAACGAATGCAATCAGTTTTTGTCATGCTCTCTAAGCAGTCGCACAAAGCCGAAACACACACTCTTAATTAGTGAGGAGAAAATAATAAAACAAGTGAAAGAAAAAAAAAACACAACAGATAATAAAAACAAATTTCTACAAAGAACTGTCAAAAATTTCAATAAAAAAACCAAACTGTGGAAACCAAAACGTGTGTAAATAAACAATAAAGCCAGCGTTTATTCCAGAAATTCATCAGGTAAAGGTAAACAGCTGCGTTGCAATACAACCGGTGTCCTCATTGTGGAAGTTCATTGACTGTCTGTTGTGTTGCTTGTTCCCGGTTGCGATGTGAGTGCGTGCGTGCGTGCCTTCCAATGTTCTTTGTCAGTTGGAAATCAAGTGAATATGTTTTCTGAGTATGAATGGATGGCCTGTGAGTGTTTATGACAAGTGACGATGGCGAGTCTTTTTGGCGCTGGTCATCTGTTTTCTGTTCCTCTTTGCTTTCGGAATTTTTGTTTACTTGTACAAAGCATGTCAAACAATACTCTTTGAGCATTTTTACAAATTTCACTCGGATATGACTGAAGAGCAAAATAAAGCAGGTTGAGTAAAAAATAATGAGATTTTTAATTCAAGCTTAAAAGAGAGTTATTAAATTATGTTGAACAACGTGAAAAATAACAAAAGATGACCCTTTAAATTGTGACATAATTATTTGTATAATCCTCAAAGGCAAGAAATCGACATGTTTTCTGATTAAATGAAAAAAAATGGAAAATGTGTCTGTATTAACCCGTTCCGAATTATGTTGGAGTTACTAAAAATCCTAAATGTCAATAAGTTTCTAAAATGTTTTAAAACCCAGAAATTGTGGAATATAGGGAGGTACAATAATATATAGACTACATTGTAATATAGACCTGGCTTGCACAATGTTAACTATCCACTGAGAGTTGAAATATCCAATTTAAAATGCAGAGTGAGGTAAAAAAACTGCAACAAAGTCAAACGCCATAATTTTTATTTCTTTTTTTAATTTTATTGAATGAAAGCATAAAATGTCGGAAATAGCATAAAATTTTAGAATAAGTTTAGATTTGTTCGAATTGGTCACCTTTGGCACGAATTACGGCCTTCAAACGGCCAATGAAACCGTCACACGCTGGCCGAATGTTGCTCTGCGGTATTTTGGCCCATTCCCGGCGAAGCGCTTGCATGAGGTGATCGACACTTTGATATTTTTAGTGTCAACCTTGCTTCCCAAAATAATCCAGACACAATAGTCCAACGGATTGATATTTGGAGATTTTGGAGAAAACCAAATTCGACAGTTCACCACTTTCGGCCAAGCGAAGCAACTCTTTAGCCATTTAGAATCTATTTTCTTTCAGTTGCGGTGTATGTTTTTACACTTTTTGGAATTTCAAGGGCTTTACCCCGAGTTAATTTTTCAATATTTGCCGAATGGAATATTGCGATATGTTCAGCTCACGAGCTATTTTTCGGCCACTACGACGCGGATTTCGATCAAGTCGCTTCTTTACTTCTCGAAACATTTCTGCTGATGTTGCTGTTTTCTTACGCTACCAGTATCACGGAGGAGTGGCTTAATGGCAGCAGTCTGAAGTTGGTTGCATTTTTCCATCTCACCCTGTATATTACTTTAAAATGAAGAACCTCTAAAAACATAAAATCGGGATGGGCATTTTTAAATAACATTGACAATTATATGCGTCCTATACCAAGACATGAATCAATTCCGAAATTTTTTTTACAGAGTTGGACCCATAAATACCACAGTATACGTTAAAAAACTTTTTTTTGAAAATGCTATAAAAAGAAAGAAAGAAAAATAGACTATGGAGGTAATATTAAGTGTGTCATTCCGTTTGTAACTTCTTGAAGTACTCATGTTAGACCCGAAAATTCTTAGTCGATATATGTGTGTCTTTCAGTGCCTATGTTGTAATCACGCAAACTTTGAAATAGAAAGCTAAAGTCAGTAGGCAGGTTAAATTGGTCCATGCCGGTCCATGCTTGCGTATAGCCCCCACATAACGGTACATCCCTATATTCGGTGTTTTGATTATTTTAGTTACATTTTTCAATGGAATTGTCTAAAAATACACACTAGAAGTTCTTTCTAACCACTTTACCCCCTGGAAGAGAAATGTCTATATTGGGTCCACGATATCGAATAGCCCACATATAACGGTTTACCCCGATTTTCGGTATTTTGCCGATTTTTGGTACAATATTCACCGAAATTATTTCAAATGTCATATTTAGAGTTCGTAATGGGAACTACAGTCTATGCCAGAAAATTGTCTATGCAGGTCCAGGTCTTCGTATATCCCCAATATAATGGTATCTCCCTATATTCGGTATTTTGATGATTGTAGCTAAATTATTCAACAGATTTTTTTTTCAAGACCCCAATATAACGGCTGTATTGAAAAGATTCAATAGAATTTTTAACGGATTTTTTTTTTTTTTTGAAAATTGCGAAATTCGTTCCAAATGAATGTTTGGCCTGGCCGAAACTGCTGCTTTTTTACTTGTTTTAAGTTCGGTAAGTATAGTTTGTACTTGATTCTCTCTTCTGCGGCATAAAATTGCTGAAATAGGTTCAATATTTCTTTTGTCACTCATAAGGCGGTTTTTCCGAATATTTGGTATTTTGGTAATCTAACCACATTTTTAAACATATTTTCTATACTCCGCAGTCAGAGGGTATTTATTATTTGATACGGCCAAAGCGTGTCTCATCAAAATTACGGTTTTAGACCTCTTTGTACCAAAACCGTTTCAGGACATTTGGAGTCGATCTATGGATGCGTATGTCTATCTGTCTGGCTGCCTGATGTGCACGATAACTATCGATGGGAGTGTCCTATGTGGTCCAAACTTGATACATCGTAATATTTTTTTATGAAACTTAGAACGAGCTCGGAGGTGGATAATATCGGTTCACTCCTTCTCGTACCTCCCTCACAAAAGGTCAATATTTTCACAGAAAATAATTTAATTAATAGAACAGGAAAAGATGGACGAATTTTGAGCAAAGGTTGCTCCTAACATTTTAATCAGTGTTAGGTGAGGTCGGAAAATTTAATATATAGGTCAACTCCATCAAGTTCCTCCTCCACAAAGGGTCAAAATTTTGAATAATTATCAAATCTTATAAAATGTGAAATAAGTGTCCTATTGTGTTCAAAATTCGCACATCTCAATTTTTTATCAGCACAATATGTTGTGTGGGATGGGATATATAGGTTCACTCCTTCAGGTACCTCCCTACAAAGGGTCAAATTTATCGTTTCAATTATAAAATTTATAAAAGGTGTACCATGGTCATCAAATTTCACACATACCAATTCTTTTGCAAATACAAGATCTGGAATCAAGGATGGATAGACGGGCCATTTATTCTGGTACATCCACCCCCCCCCCCACACACACACCTACCCAACGGGTCAAAATTTTGAATAACCAAGACGCTCATAATAAGGCAAAATGAGCATCCGATTATTTTCAAATGGGACACTCCTAATATTTTCACCAACACATCATCAGCCTACTCCTTTTTGTACCTCCCCTACAAAGGGCTAACTCCTATAAAATGTGATTTCGATTCGATTGCTTTCAAGATTTGTCCATCTCAATATTTTTACTAACACAAGATCTTATACAAAGGTGAAATATATCGGACCACTCCTTCTGGTAATTCCCCCACAACGGGACAAAGTTATAAATAACTATACCTACCAGAAAATGCGAAATAAACACCCAATTCTCCTCAAATTTCACCAATCCCAATAGTTTAATTAACAGAATATCTGGTGCGAAGATACCAGATATCTGTCCACTCCTCCTGGTACCTCCCTCACAACGGGTCAAAATGTTTAATATTTTTAACATTCATAAGCGAAATAAGCATCTATATTTTTCCAAACTTCACATATTCCAATATTTCTACTAACACGAGATTTGGTGTGAAGATGATATATATATATAGGCCTACCCCGTCTGGTACTTCCGCCACAAGGGGTCACTGCTGTCAATATTTATATATCTCGACATAATATGCGAAACAACTAAGCGAAACTTAATAAAATAAAAAGTATAATTAAACATGAATGTTCAATATTAGATGACGTTGAATATTTCGGTCCGCTAAATATGGTAGCTCACGCATATTTATATATATATATATATATATATATATATATATATATATATATATATATATATATATATATTTTTTTTTTTTTTTCCAAAAAATTATCACATATCTAATAATATGTGAAGATAGAGGTCGATATGACCCTAATCTGGTACGTTGTAACATTTATAACAACTAATGTCAAATACGAAATCGACAATATAAGCCCATTTTTTAGTAACTTCACCCAAAAGGCTTTTTGTGTGGATCGAACGATAATACTCTTAACACATGGTGTTGCGCGATTTTCGTTGGTATTATACTTTTTTTTTGTAAAAAATCATTGCAAATTTGCCAAAAGCAGTTCAGCATTTCTTGACTTATAAACAGTATAACTAACATCAAATTCTCTTACATATAGATTGTACCAATTTTGTTATATACCCAATATCTTGTCTCTCAGCATCACTGTAATGGTCAGGAGACATCTTTTAATGTATTTGTGACTTCGCCGAGACTAATTTTTTTTATAAAAGTTATGGTTTATTTTACCCTCTAAATATTATTAAATTTGGTAGGCTTCTACCCAGCTGTAATATCAGGAAATGTGTCTGTTTTTGGTCCATTTCAAAAACAATAGACTTCTATTTTGATCCTAACCCCACCTCCATGCTAAATTTCGTGAGGATTTCGGGCTATAGTGACGACCTGTAGCGTGATTACCAATTAACATGGGCAGCGCGGAGAGATAGGAAGCTCTATATTTCGAGGCGTTGCACAATTTTTGGCCCAATCAAACTTAAAACTGGATTTATGTCGTTTTAAAAACGAAACCTAATTGAGTTGCAAGTCATTGAATTAAAAGCATTAGTAATGTTCAAAATGGTAAAGTTCTGCAAATACGCTATTCTATTGTCACTTTTTAAGACAGGAATATATTGACTGATGTCTCTCTTGCAGCAAAATGCTTTAAAATCGCAGCAGAACCAATGAATTTCCTTTAAGCTTACTACAAAAAAAAAAAAAAAAAAACTATTTTCCCTTTTAAATGATCCAATAAACCCTCACATTTAGCCTTCTTTTTCGTTTCCCTTAAATTGCAGTCAATCAAAAACTCAAACGAAGCTTTTGAAAGAACCGGACGATAGGGCACATCAACGCTATCACAGTACATCGAACAACAAACCGTCATCTTCATCAGCCACAACATCATTAGTGGTGGTGCATCAACAACACAGAACATCATTGTCCGTCGTCGGTTTAGCCGAGAATAAAAAAAGTCCGGAAATTCTACAACCAAGCAATAAAACCAAATAGAAAGATGTCCACCTCCGCCTCCAGCTCTTTGCTAACCGCAAAGCTACCAACATTCGAAGAGATTCTAGAAGCGGCCAAAGAGACATTTCGTCAAAATTTTGGCCAAGAGCCAGAATTAGCCTGCTGTGCACCGGGACGTGTTAATTTGATTGGTGAACATGTTGATTACAATGACGGTTATGTTCTGCCCATGGTAAGTGAAAATGCAATTCCGACAGATTTTTTAATTTTTGAATGGAATATAAAGATAAAAAAACATCGAATGCAACTCATGCTAATTAGTTGGAAACGAACAAAATGAAAATTTTTCGTAATTTTTTTCTTCTCATTAAAAAAAAATATTCAAATCAGACAAACTTGGTTAAAAAAAAAAAATTTAAATAATTTTTTTTTAATACTCACCCACCTTCACCATTTAAACCAGGAAATGTGTTATAACTAAAACGAAAAATTGTTTGTGGCCAACATCATGAATGTTGCGTTTGAAACGTTTGTTTTCTAATGAGCTTCCTCATGTTGGCTGGCTGCCTGGCTGGCATTCATGCTATTGCATTCCGTTTCTTTTTTGTTTATTTTCTCTAGGCCCTTCCAATGGTTACGGTCATTGTTGGCGGTCAACGGCCGGGAAATGAAGTCGATTTAATTACTTGCTGTGCCGGTGCTGATGATCCAAAGCATGTTAAATTTTCATTAACGGACTTGCAACCTAGCCAAAAACCAAAGTAAGTTTAATTTAGAAAATGGAATTATTATAATTAGATTTTTAAGTGCTTTAAAGAAAAAGATAAATGATTAGGTAGGTATGTAGGTATGTAGGTATTCAAAAGCGAGTAACATGTATATATTTTATTATACCCTCAGCCATATGGGAACAGAGGGTATATACAATTTGATACGGTCAAAACGTGTCTCTTTGGACCAAATCCGTTTCAGAACATTTGGGTACATCGTAATAATTTTGTCAAACTTAGATCGAGTGCGGAGATGGGCAATATCGGTCCTCTCCTTCTGGTACCTCCACCACAAAAGGTCGACATTTTCAAAAAAAAAAAATATATATATATACACTAGTGGCCAAAACTAAAGCAACTGAAATCGCAAAGACAATAAATGTCCTATAACTTTTACAAAAATAAACAAATCGAAATTATTTTTCCAGTTTTAAATGAGGGGTTTAATTCACTTTTAAGAAACTAAAAATAAAAATACAAAAATAAATTTGAACGAAAAATAATATGTGGAAAACTAAAATGACCCAATTTTTGCTTGGTCAAAACTAAAGCAACTTTTGATTTTTTATTTTAAAATAATTAAATTTTGGCTAGTAGTCGATTGCATAACCATTATTTTTGATAGCAGCTTCACACCTACGAGGCATTGAATCTATAACACGCTCAATTTGATCCTTGGGTGTGCCTTCCCAGGCACCCCGAATTCTTTAGAAAATGTTGTGCTGATTTATTTCCGAATCTCTCTTGATCTTCCTATCTACGATGCTCCAAAGGTTTTCTAAGGAGTTTAGGTCAGGTGATTGTGCCGGCCATAACAAAACATGCATTTTTGACTCCCGCAACCAATATTTGACAAGTTTTGATACAAGTTTGGGATCATTGTCATGCTGAAATACATAAATCAGCCGAATATTTTACTCAGCGTAAGGGAACAACGTGATGTCCAACACATCTTTGTAAACAAACCGATCCACAACTTCCTTTATTTTATAGATAGGCCAAGTCCATAGAAAGAAAAACAGCGCCACGCCATTTTTGACCCTCCCTCATGCTTCACTGTACCTTTGCAACACTGCGGCTTGAGTCCTTCATTTTTTGGCCTTCTCACCGTAAAATTTTTCACGTCTGAGCCTTTAATATTAAACGTAGACTCATCCCAGAAATAACGTTTTTTCCATTGAGCTTGATTCCACTTAATATTATCGTTTCCGAAAGCCTTTTTGATTTTTTCAGATATAAATGGTTTTTTGATGTCTTACGGGCATGTAGACCAGCTGCCACTACTCGTCTACGCACTGATCTCGAGCTTATATCAAATGATTGCTCTCTCACCAATCCAGTTGAACTCTTAAAATAGTTGTTTTTTTATTTCTCTCTCAATTTGTGGATCAGTACGGGCTGAAGTTTTTCACGGCCTTCGTCCGTAATAGACTGTTACTACTGATCTAGTTTCAAAAAACGGACTTAGTATAAAGAAATAATTATGAAATCACATAAATATTTATGAATTATTTCTCGGAAATCACTTTCTGTGATATGATGTTTTGATAGTCACTGATAATTTGCTGTTTTATTCAGGTACTGTATTGGCTTCTAGCCATTTTTAAATTTTTTGGGCAGTACTTAAAAAACGAAAAGAAAAACACATACTGTTATAAAAAAACTTCTCAAAAAGGATTTATGACAAGCGAAATTGTCGAAGGAAGCAAAAAGCGATAAATATCACAGTAAAAACAACTGAAATTGCAGCGGTTATATGAATGTACAACAGAGTTGCTTTTGTTTTGTCCAAGCCAAAATCGGGTTAATTGACTTTACCAAACATTATTTTTTATATAAAAATGAATTTTGGTTTTATGTTTTAGGTTTTTAAAAAGTGAATAAAGTACCTAATTTAAAACAAGAAAAACTTTCTCATTTTCTTAATTTTTGAAAAAGTTAAAGGGCCTTCATTCTCCTTGTAATTTCAGTTGCTTTAGTTTTGGCCACCAGTGTATATATATATTTTGCACAGAAAGATAAAGGATAATCCAATTTTGCTCCAACTTTGCAAATCCTTATATTTGCGTCAGTGCTAGGTAAGGTGTGAAAATGGACAATATCGGTCTACTCCATCAAGTACCTCCCCCACAAATAGTAAACATTTTGAATAATTATAAGTCTCATAAAATGTGATGTAAGAGTTCGATTGTCTTCAAATTTCACACATCCCAATATTTATATTAACCCAAGGTCTGGTGTTAAGATGGGCAAAATCGGTCAATTCCTTCTGGTATCTCGCACACAAATGGTCGAAATTTGCAAAAAAAAAATATTTTCTGCACAGAAAGAAAAGAATAATCTAATATTGCTCTAACTTTGCAAATCCTAATATTTTCGTCAGTTTTAGGTCTTGTGCCAAAATGGATAATATTGGTCCACACCATCAAGTGCCTCTCCCACAAAGATTCAAAATGTCGAATAATTATAACTCTTAAAAAATATGATGTAAAAGTCCGATTGTCTTCAAATTTCACACATCCTACTATTTTTATGAACTAAGATCTAAGATCTGGCAGTAAGACAGAATATATCGGTCCACTCCTTCTGGTACCTCTCCCACAAAAGCTCAAAAGCTTTGTATATCTATGAAGTTCATAAAACATCCGATTCCATTCCAGACATGGTACATCTCAATATTTCCATCAATACAAGATCTGTAATAAAGATGGTAGAGATCGGACCATTTCTTTTGCTACCTGCCCCGCATAGGGTTCAAAATTTTTAAAAACATAACGCTCAAAGAAAACGAAATAAGCATCCAAGTCTCTTCAAATTTAACGTATACAAACATTTTTGCTAAACAAGATCTGTTGTGAAGATGCTACATATCTGCGAACCCCTTCTCCTACCTCACCCACAAAGAGACAAAATTTTTAATACCTTTATCTGTCATAAATTATGAAACAACTCAGCGATTCTCTACCCCATTATTGACCCATTCTTTCCAAACCCAAACCATAGTGGGCCAAGAGTTTGAAAATTGATTACAGAAGTCAAAATATTTAAAAAAATATCGAAAAAGCGAATATTGGCTGAGAGTATACATCTGTCGGCAAAACCGACCGATACTTTTTTACTTGTTGTTTTATAAATTGCATATGGACAGACTAACTTGGATGCAGACTTTTTTTGGAAAAAGGTTCAATAGTACGGAATTTTCTAGAAATTTGCAAAAAATTCTAAAAGGTACAGACAATTGGACCAATGCTATTAAATGATCGCTGAAAGCTAGAGCTCTGAATTTGTCTACACAAAAGTATGTGTATTTTTATATCCTACACCACACGATGGTCAGGGTATTACGTCTCTGTGCATTTGTTTATAACAGGAAAATGGAAAAGAGATAGATCCATAGTTCCTTTTGATGATCTGCATAGAATCATATTCTGAGTCGATTTATGCATGCCCGTCTTTCCAGGTATTTTTTAAAATAAAGTACATGTTGCATTTATAGCCCTATCAAAACGAAATTTTCCACAAATCATGTTTGACCCAAGGAAAACCCCTATTAAAATTGAAGATAATCGGTCAAAATTTAGATATTTCTTTATCCGATTTGCTTTTTATTTTGGACCAAATGTCTTATATCAGTCCAGATAGTATGGAATTTTACACATACGACCAAATTAGGCCTGAAAATAAGTATGCTAAATTTTATAGAAATCGGTTTAGATATATCTTCCATATATATAGTTCTTCCGATTTGATATTTTTGTCCTCCGCAGCCGTAATATGCACTCTGTAACAACAATATTTGGGGAAATGAATCAAATACAGCTCAGAAATACCTTGGCTAAATTTTATCGAGTTCGGTTCACATTTGAAAATAGCTCCAATATATATCTTCATCCGACTTTCCTTTTATTGTGCACCAAACGTGTAATATTAGCCCAAATGGGATGGAATTTACTAATGGGGTGTAGAAACAAGTATGTCAAATTTGAGGAAAATCGGTTCAGATACAGGTATAGCTCCCATGTAAATTGTTCATCCGATTTGTTGTATTTGTCCTGCACAGCCGCAATATTCACTCGTTAGTAATGATATTCGGGGAAATACAGGGTGAGATAAAAACTGCAACAAAGTCAAATGCCATAACTTTTACAGTTCTTTTTAAATTTCATTGAATGAACGAAAAAAATGTCGGAAATAGTATCAAACGGCCAATGAAACCGTCACACTCTGTCCGAATGTTTCTCTGCCGTATTTTGGCCCATTCCCGGCAAAGCACTTGCTTGAGGTGATCGACACTTTTGTATTGTTTAGTGTCAACCTTCCTTTCCAAAATACTCCAGACAAAATATTCCAACGGATTGGTATCCGGAGATTTTGATCGCCATTGTGCGCTGGAAATGAAGCGCGGAACATCATTTTGTAACCATTGGGTGGCGCGTGCTGAGTGCGATGGTCCTGTTAGTCCTGTTAGAATGTCCAAGGTCTGCGACCAAAATGTTTGCATGCCCAAGGCTTTAATACACCCTCCAGAATATTTTCTCGATAATATTCGGCATTTATTCTGATGCCACGGTCGCTTATTAGTAGCGAAAAACGACCATCGGCTGTTATGGCGGTCCACACTATCACCATGGCCGGCGCTTGAGTTCTGGTAGCCAACCGAAGGTGAACATTTTCAGTTTGTTTGTTTCCAAACTGCTGGACAACGAATGTTCTCTCATCGGAGAAACCCAAATTCGGCAGATCACCACTTTCTGCCAAGCGAATCAACTCCTTAGCTATTTTGAGTCTATTTTCTTTCTGTTGCGGTGCACTTGCACTTTTTGGACTTTCAATGGCTTTACCCCGAGCTAATTTTTTTAATATTTGCCGAATGGAATATTGCGATATGTTCAGCTCACGAGCCATTTTTCGGCCACTGCGAAGCTGTCGGACGAGTGGCTTAGTAATGACAGCAGTCTGAAGTTGGTTGCAGTTTTTTTCATCTCACCCTG